TTCTCTGAATGAGTCACTTAGGCTCGCTCAGATTCTCTGAGTGGGTCCCTTGGGGCTTACTCGGTCCCTTGGTCTCGCTCTTAAACTTTACTTCTGTCTCTGACTCTTTATTTAATCTGCGCCACCCCTCAAGAGAAACCCGTTTGCCCTTGCCACGCTGGACGTGACACAAGAGCATCAGGGGATGATAAAAACAAAACTGAAATGCACTATGTATGGTAAGAGGGCTTTACTCTGGGGATGCCAAAGAGACTACAGCTGAGAACCCAGATTCAGAAGTCTGATTGCCAGGTGTTCAAGCCGTAGCTCTGCCCTCTGACGCTGAGCAGTTCCTTTTCTGGATCTGTTTTCTCGTGTCTAAATAAGGGTAACGAGAACAGTGCTTACCGCATACACCAGCAGTGAGAATTACTTCATGTGTACAGCATGCCTACCACGGGGCTCTGCACATAGGGAGCCCTCTTATTACTACTCTTCAACTCTGTGAACTTTTAAAGACCGGAATCTAGCCAATGTCCCTGATGCATAGATGCTTGAAGTCTGTGGAATTCAACTAAGCCCCTCCTATTTTCAAAGCACTATTTTAGGGGGGAAAAAAAGTGTCAAAGGAAACAGTATAAAATAGGACAAGGGCTAAAACGCCCCAGTCCAAGAACAGCTGAAAAAGCTTTTGAGTCCTCAAGTCTCATTCCAGTTCTATTTAACAGCCTGTTCTAGCTTCTCCACATCATTGTCCTAAATCTCTGTGGTTTGGGGTTATATCCCACAAGGTGACCCAAATCCCATCTCCCTCTTCCTTTGGTGCTGAAAGAGGTGACCTGGCTCCCTTGGACTTACGCCTTTGAAGGCATCCTCCACTGTAAGTAGGTGGTCATTCTAGTTTTCAGAACCAGTCTTGTGAGTGTGTGCGTGAGTCACTGCACTAGGTCCCTAAAACTGCAGAGCCAGGAAAAAGCTCAGGCCCTTTAGTGACCTCAAAGGGCAGTCCCAGAGCTTCCCGTGTTAAATATCAGGGTTAAAACAGTCTATTAAAAGGAGGGATTTTACTACTCTAAGAAGTTGTAAATGATTTATTACCCAAAGCAATAATATAAAAGAATCAAGTGATACAATGACTTTTAAAACTCTGATTATTGCTTCTTTCTGAAGCAATATATACCTGCTGTATAAAGGGGAGGGGCCAATGAACTTAAAAAAAAGGGGGGGATTATCTATACTCCCATTATTAGTTTGGTGAAGATCCAACTCCAGGTATATAAATACTAATGTAGTATTTTCTCTCAATTTGGTAAGCCAATTTTTCCCATTTGCTTTAAAATTGAAGTTTATTATTGTTCCCACCTATTTGATGGTCAGACATCCAGAAGTTTGTCAACACACTTTGTTGGCGAGACACAGGGGACAGAGAGAGAGGTGGAAATAAAAGCCGGTACATCCCCCGTGAAAGGCAATCCGGTGATTCCTAGCTTACGTACAAATGCATTTACCCTTTGACCCAGACATGCTTCTGGGAATTCCTGCGGGTGTACACAACGATTCATTGCAGTGCTGTTTCTAAAAGCAAAAAGTTATAAACAGCCTGAATGTCTATCAACAGGTCAGTTAAATAGACCGTGGCATCCCCACACAATGAAGTGCGAAACAGCGGCCGAGAGGAATGAGAAACTTCCTCTACTGATGTGGAAAAAAAGCCACGTCCAAATCAGGGTGCTACCTTCTCTGTAAATTAAAAAAAACAAGGCATACACACACACACACACACACACACACACACACACACACACACCACTGGAAAGATAAGAAACTGGGTAAGGGTTACCTGTAAGGCCAGGGTGGAGGTGGAGGGGCGGTTACTCAGGTATGGATGTGATCAAGAGTTCAGACTTTTTACGTATTTTCAAGTTTTGAATCATGTGCCTTACCTATGAAAAAAATAAACTTATCCAAAAATCAAATGAAACTTAGAAAAAAAGTGCTGAGCTTCCTTTCCCACCTCTTCTAGTTACTAAACCACTAAATCAGGTGCAGCGACTATCCACCAGGAACTGATATTCCCCACCCGGTCGTAGCCCAGCCCTCAGGTTAGTGATGCTTCCAGGGGAAAGTAGGACTTATATAAATTCCTAACCCTCCTCTGAAGGTTGAGGGAGAGCCAGTGCTTTCATAAACTGGCGGTAGGACAAATCATAGCAATTTCTTTCTCCTTAGAAAATGATACACACAGAAAGAGGAGTTACCTAACTCATGTACTGGTAACAGCAGGTAGAAATGACGGGCTCTCTTAAAATGCAGGACAAGATAGCGTATCACGTGACACAGATTGTACAAAACTGAGGGGAGGCCAGAGCTGTAGGTTATAAAATACTGGTTGGAGGAAATACGGTAATTAGTGATCCGTTAACGTTCTACTTCCCATGTTCAAAGGAAAGCACACTGGTCTGTTGGTTTCCCCTTTCCTCTCATTCCTTTTAAAGGAAGTACCTTCTAGCGGCTCCAGGTCGCTCCAGGCGCCATATAAATTCTAGCAGAACCTAGCAATACTGCAGTTCAACATTAGCTCTAAACCCATTTACCCGCACATTGGTATTATATTTTTCCACATCGTATATCAGAAGAAACATTTTTCTGCAGTTTGGAAGAAATGCTTTAAAAGTTTTAAATGGCTTTCAAAATATAAGCCCGTGTTTGTAGCATTTCCAAACAAAATGTTACTGTATCTTCCTGCAAAATGTCTGGGATCTCCAGTCATTAACTATGTTAAAATGTAGTTATAAAATGTAAACATTTCTGTGTTTTGGATTATTTTCAAGTGGAAGGAACATGCAACACTAACATATTTACTAGGACAAGTGGGTGTTTTCATCTCTCTGCTCTTCAAATCTCTAGGCTGCTAGAACCACTGCCTGTTAGTGGGAGAAATTCTATTAGAAATCCTCTACTCTTCATTTTACAGATGGGAAAACTACCCAGCCAGGCGGTTCAGCAATTCACCACAGTCACAGTTAGTTAACAGCTAAGAGACGCCGTTCTCTCAATGCTAACCCAGCACTCTTGACAACCAAGACACACGAACATTTTAAACGGACTATTCTTTCCCTATCACATCCCCTCATTTTAGGAATCTGACACCTGCAGGCTCCAGTTTAAAAAAAAAAAAAAAAGAGGTATCTTCCCCTACTCCAGAGTCCTGCTGGGAAATCTGCATCGCCTAAATCGCCAGCTCTCTTGGGATTTAAAATGGAATTGACTGAAGAGAAGGCAGTTAATGAGCTGGTGATGGATGACTATCGCTGTTTGCTCAGATTACAGAACTTCCATCTAGCACATTACTGACCTGTTTCTGTTTTCCTGAGAACAGCCGAGTGGCAGCCATGACAGAAGTACCCATTTTTATTAATAGCTTAAGTTTAAACAGAAATTGTGTGGAGGGTATTTACTAACCAACAGGAAACACCTGCAGGGGCCGCCCATTGGTATAACTGCGAATTTAAGGGAAGTCGGCAAGGCTCGTGTTTGCTTTACTGCCTTCCTTCCCACTGACATACGTGTTGTTGAGAACACAACCTTTCAAGTTTGTAACGAAATGAAACTATTTCAAGTACTAACACGTGGTTTCCCCGCACATTTCAAGTCGCCTCACAACTGGACGTTACAGCTGCAGTGCATTTAAACTTCCTCACCAGTCTCAACTTGCCAGGTCCCCAGAGGTTGGAATTACCAAATCGACAGGACCTCAGGGTAACTGCACCCTGTATGGATAGGATCCGCAAGGCGATTAGTTCCCCAGACACAACAATGAGCACTAAAGCATTCACTACAATCCATTTACTTGACACAATCAAATGGACTAAGTTTGGAAGTCTCAAATTTTTAAAGCAGATTTAAACTTAGAAATTATGGGTAAAGTAAGCCAACTTTATATTCCCCCCGCCCCCAACTCCTTCAAAAATGGCTTGGATGTGAGGGTGGTAAGAAGAGGACCAACCTGATGGCTTGACTGCATGGCTTCACTAATTCAATAACAAAATGTAAACGTGGTGTCCGGGGGCCGGCTGTCCTAGAGATGCCAAATGACACATCCAACTGGCCCAAAGGGTTTGGCCATCAGAGTGACAAGAGACACAGAGGAAAAGCCAAGCTGAGCGTCTCTGAGTAAAAATACGTAAAATAATTTCTTCAATGGCTTTGATGAGATAAATGTTCACTTTTATTGTGCAAAAGTTAACATACTGGCAACATAGGCCAAACGCATTATACTTTAAAAATATGCTTTTGTGGGAAAACCATCATGTTTACTATTAGGTTGTCGCAAAAGTCATGACGCACTTTTGCAACGAGAAACATAGAAAAAATACGTCACGACATTTCTGACAATCCAATATTTTAAATCTTTCCATTTTGGAAGTGAATGAAATAGGCATATCTTGCAATTTCAGTTTATCAGTAGAGCTTTATGATTTTTAAGACAACTGGATTATAATATGCTTAACCAGCACTGCCACTTTGAAAAGTCGGTGTGTCATGAGTTTACAGTAGTACCTCCCCCACCTACCCTCAAAAAAAGTCGCAATATCAACAGTGTGGACATTTTAGAAGTTTATTTCTATTTTTAACTAGCCCAAAGACCCAATTCTTTGAGAGCTGAGCGGATTTCATTCTCGCATGTGGTCAATGGACCCTGCTCATGGTAACTTTCTTTCCATCCCCTTCCAAAAAAGTCAGCACCTTCCATCATGATGCACATTTTAGGTTAAAATTGTCAATACAACCCTCAAAATGCAAGTTTATTGAATAAAGCCGAGAAGAGCAGTAACAGACGAAAAATGCATCCACCTAAATAAAATCCATGTATTTACAAAGTTCAGTAACTGTTAAGTTTTCACATGCAGAGGTTAATGCACAGGAAAATGGCGGCGGTGTCTGGATGTCTTCAAATGCCGAAAGCAATGCCCAGACACACAGACTTATTCAGGTGTAGCTACAGGTCAGGACGGCCTGTGCGGCCCCCACAGTCACACATTCCAGTTCCGAGTCCTCCATTTTAGGCACAGATTGCTACATTCTTGGTAATGGTTCCAGCGGCCACCGATGGCATCGAACTACGGTAGCAAGTTTAACTATCCCTTCATTTACAGAACCACCCATCTCATCAGGGAAGTATGCAACATGCTTCAAAGGATAAGAACAGAATTGTAAAAGCCGAGTCTACCCATAAAAATGTGACTGAAGACAAGTAAGTAGTGTCTGTGCAACACAGTGCAGGATTTTGTACAGAATATTGTTAAGGCCATGGCAGTCTATAAATTAAAACTGGAATTCGTTAAAAGAACTTACTGTTGACTGCACTCTGAGTGCTCACCACGGTGGGAGATGCACTGTCCACATGAGTGCTGCTTAACAAAGGAGACAAAATCACACACAGTGTGAGGCAACACACAAGCAGGCGCACCAGACAGAGTTTGATCTACGACAGTGGTCTATGTGAAGGACAGTTGACAGATGAGCCAGTAATAACATGTCCCTTTATGGTATGGAGATCATTGAACTACGAAACGCACTCATGTTAAGTTTATACATCTCCATGTCATAGAGGCTGACAACGAACAGCCTCAGGTCCTCAGCTCTGTGTGATTGTCAGCCAACCTGCAGACATTCCGTGTGATTACATCAGATAAAGCAGGCAGGTCTAGAGTTGTCACAATAATCAAGATGTCTCATGGCACCGGCAAAAGAGTGCCAAACCTTACCTCAGGAAGAGAGGAAAGTAGGAACTTTTTTGTTTGTAAGTATCTGTTGTGCTGCAAGTCAGCATTGTGACTGGATATAAAAAGTCAGGAGTTCAAGTGTCATGCGGCAGCCCTGACTCAATGACTGGAGATAGAAAGAACAAACAGGTGTCTGAACAAAGTCTGACGTTCTTAACACGTTTTATTATATTGGCTGGAATGCTCTAAATTCATGAAAGCTTTTGAGAAAATCTTCAGTTCCCAACCCCTTAAAAAAGTGTTGAACAAGCAAAAAAAGAAAAAATAGAGAAGTAGTGACCTGGACAGATACAAAAGGGCACGCCTCAGTGCCTCCCACATCCCCGACTGCTGCCCGGCGATGAAGAACGCTCAGAGAGCAGACTGGTGTTCAGATCCATCACGTAAGGTCTCAGTGTCAAGAACCCCTAACAACACTGACCTGGAGCCTTGTCTCCTCGCAGACCATTCTTACAACTCCAAAGGTGTAATTATACATTTCACATGCATTTGTGGGCTATGTCAACATTATGTTTACAGCCCACACGAGTCAGGCTAAAGGTTTTCTAAATACTGTGTGTGTGTGGTACTAGAAACTTCATGCTGTATCAAGCCAGTATCAGTAGTAAAGCTACTGGACTCTAGAATGAAATATCATAGACAGACATTTACTGAAAACCAATACAAAAATCTGGTCCAGAAAGACCAGAACGGAAATCTGCAATCTTCTTGATTTAAGATGGTCGGAAGTGTGTTTTTTAAAAAAAGCTCTACACACTGTGTAAGACAAGTGTGTGTCAGAAGCCTTGGTGTGTGCTGACTTTATCGTGACAACTCTAGCTGATTCTTTATGAAGGATTAGGGGATACACATTTTCAGCAGTGCACATGAGAAATAAACTCTGAAAAAGGCAATTTCTTGGGTTTAGGAAGGACCGTATTCTGGGAAGTACTTCAGAGGAACGGACAATAATTTTAGGATTACAGCCAGGAAGGACTGGAAGACGTCAGGAGATGCTTTTCAGCTTCTTCTAGATTTTGAATGTTGAATAAGCCACTGAAGTGTGATATCTACAGATGGAGGGAAAAAAAGGCGTTAAGAAACTAAACATCAGAGACCATCTTTAAAATGCAGCTAAGTCAAAGCACAGCCTGGGCCTGCCCCCGCTTCTCTGCGTCTGCACTGCTGCTCCCCATTACCTGCTTCAGGAGGACAAGCTGAGGCATTACGAGGGGCTGAAGAGTCTCTGATTCCCAAGTGCAACTGAGTCAAGAACAACTTAGGCCATCTTCCATTCGTTCATCCATTTACTGACTGCCTATAAAATCGGGTACTGAATGCAAAGAAATCGGAGAACCACTCTCTGTCCTCAAGGAGCTTTCAGTATTATAGTCAGAAAACATACAAGTAATCGTTTGGGGTTGGGGGGCCGTCCCACAGAATTCTAGGCAAAAGAAACAGCATGGAGCACTGGGTGGATGAGAAGTGGTAAGAAGCGACTGAAGCAGAGGGATGGGGGAAGGGTGCCGCTCGTGCTTAGGCCAGAGCGGGGATTCTCAGCCTCACGCTTCTGGCGTTTGGGGCTGGTTAATTCTCTGCTGGGAAGGGAGGCCCTTTCCTGTGCACGGTAGAATACTTTCTGACATCCCTGGCCTTTACCACTAGATGCCATTATCACCATTCCCCTCACTTGTGACAACCAATAATGTCTCCAGACATTTCCAAATGTCCCCGAGGAGCAAAACAGTCCTCAGCTGAGAACCACAGGGCTAGAGGGAGCCAGATAATCTTGTATGTCATTCTAACATGCTAAGAAATTTGGATTTTAGTCTCAAGTCAATAGGAAGTTAGTGGAGAATGCTAAGCAGGGAAATTATACCGGTTTATTTTAGTAAGATCAATGCTGGCTAGAGGAGGACAGCTTGGAGGGTTGCCGACAGAGAGCCTATCTCAGCGGGAATGGGAAGTGACGAAGGCCTGAAGCAAGCCAAGCGCTGTGGGGGTGGGGGGAGGGGGAATGAGAAGCATGATTAAGATGCAGAACTGACAGCTGGTGACCGACTATGTGGAAGAGGTGAGAAAGACACTCTGCCCTAAGTGAGTGTGTCATGCTCTGGCCTGAGTGGGTGTGTCATGGAGCTGGTGACAGACACAGAGGCAAAAGAAAGAACAGCCTTTAAAAAAAGATTAAGAATTGAGCCGCAGGCACATCGAGTTTGAGGGGCAGAAGGTAGCACATAATGGAGATGCCCAACAGGTAGCTTTAGCTACCCAGATCTGAGGAAGAGATGGAGGCTGGCAAGATGCCATCACACAGGTGGCACCTGAAACCACAGTAGCCGAGATTAGCCAGAAAAAGCACGCCGGCCGAGAAGTCGGCTAAGTCGAAACACTGAACTCCTGTCCTTGAGCTCTTTAACATGTGTGAGCCGCATCGCGTGGACGTGAGCACCTATTAGAAGCAGCAGTCTCTTCTCCAAGCCTGACAGATGATTGCCAATTCCCGCTCACGGACATCAGGGAAACTAGAAGCCGCACACACAGCACGGCCTAGAGCTGACAGCTGAGCCAGCACGACCTGTCCACACACCACAGACGTGGAGACAATGAGTCAGCCGTCTGCCCAAGCAGGTCATCTGCGCTTCAAAAGGAGGCCGGCCGTGTGAGTAGTAAGAGCAAAGCCACACTCATGTGAATGAAATGGGGGACGAGGCCAATCTAAAATTCAAACAACCAGGTGTAAATATTTCAGAAATTCACTAAAAAAAATCTTGGGGGCACTAGACAGATGGATCCTTAAGACTAGATGAAAAGGCAGAAAAACATAAGGCGGTCATTTTCTGTGACAAAAAGGGCCACAGGTGTGAGCCATCTTCGCCAAGATCCTTCTCCCAGAAGGGAACTGTTGTGTGTGGGGTCTGAGGACACATTACTAACGAAATTAAAGTATTCCTGGTACCACATCAGGGAGCTGGAAGTATAACGTACAAGCCATATACACCGAAATCCTTTTTGGAGCAATTCAGTAAGTTAAAAATGTAAGTTAAATTTAGTAAGATAAATTTGACACTAAAATCTGTTATAAAAGCTGAAATTAAGGATGTTCTGACTTGACTATTCAAGAAGTCTAATCTAAAGGGTTTATTTTCTCCCTTCAACCTCCCCGGCCCCATTTTAGGAAATAGGAGAGAAAATGTAAGGGAGTAATGGATTCACAGCACAGCACAATGTACTGAAACTCCTGGTTAATACAGAACAGGGCTTCTCGACCTCGCGCGCTGGCCACTCCTGGCTGTGGGGTGTGTAGGTGTTTAGAACCCTCCTCACTATGACAACCAGAGGTCTCCAGACCTTGCCAATAGTCTCCAGGAATAAAAACCCCTTACTGACAACCACTGGCATACAAGTAATGTTCTCCTGAAGGCACAACTTAAAACTTTACAAGAGTTCCCCGAAACACAGAAAAACATTTTTAAAAAATCAACACTAAGTCACATTAAATGCTTGAATAGTCTGTTTTCAAATTAACTGAATGCTCCAATGTAACACGTCACTTATTCTATCCATTTAATAGAGAGGATTAGGGTCCATCAGCAGATACTGAGCTCAGACTGCTTGGGGTGGTCTTTAAGAGAGACCCAGAATTAGCCAGAAAATGATCAACGCTTTGAGTTTATCAGGACATGTTTGAGGGGGGTGGGAGAGCAGCTGAGATACAGAGTGGAATTGACTTGGGGAAAAGGTTAAGTATGATAAGAACCAATATATAGTGAATGAAGGCTAGAGAAAAACTATCAGAATACCTTTTTAAATACACTATTTTTACACTGTGTATTGCATTTTATTTCAATACACCTTTATTAAATAATCCCTCACCTAATTTTAGCTAAGAGACTACAGTTCAGTCATACACACTTATTCTTTAAGGACGTTGGACTGAACAGTGTCCCCTAAAAATTCACATCCACCTGGAACCTCAGAATTTATTTAGAAATAAATAAATGTGATTAGTTAAAATGAGGTCAAACTGGATTATGGTGGGTCCTAATCCAGTGACATGTGTCCTTATAAGAGGAGAAGACACAGAGACACACACAGAGACGGTGGCCACGTGAAGTTGGAGGCAGAAACCAGAGTGATGCGGCTCCAAGCCCAGCGATGCCAAGGACTGCCAGCAGTTTCCACAGCTGGGAAAGGCAAGGGGGAAGTCTGTTCTGGAGCTCCCAGAAGGAGCACGGCTCGGCCGACACCTCGATTTCAGACATCTAGCCTCCTGAGCTTGAAAGAATAAATTTCTGCTGTTTTAAGCCACCGGTTTGTGGTCCCTTGCTATGGCAGTCCTAGGAAATCACTAGACATTAAGGAGATAAAGGGTATTTTGGGCTTATACCTATAGAGTGCTGACATACTGCAGTCATGTGCCGGTTCAACAAAGGAAAAATTGTTCTAGTGCCTACAGACCAATTTGTGTCAAGTCTTATTTCAAAACGTCATTTCGTTATAAAGCACAGCTGGATACTAGCTCTGCAAAAATTAATACAATAAATTGATATCCCATATGCTTAACTTTGTGTTTTTATTGCATCTACTTCTTTAAACAGCATAGAACAGATTCAGGATGTTTTATTTGTTGTCAAAAGGTATAATGTCTACTCTTTTCCCTGAGGCAAAAGCAATAGTACTCTATAAAGGAACTCAGCTGAACAGCAATGGAGATAATAAACAGTAAGAGTCCTTAGACACCCCTTCCAATGATACCCGTTTCTTCCAAAAACACCGGTTATTTCTTACCTATATTATCCTTTTCTTTGCAAGAAATTGAATAGCAGCAAATTTCTCTATCCTGAATAGCAGACAGATTCCTATAAGAAGCAGAATTAAGAGAATAAGTCAGTGCTTAAAACAGCTGTCATACTTATCACTCTGCTCAATTTTACTTGTTTTTTTTAAATTACTAAACTGAAGAAATTACTTTACTACTAAAAATTTAGTAATTCACTTCTCTGGTAGTCCAAGTTCATCTACCTAAAAACATGGCTGTGATCATTACTGAATAATGCAATGATGCTAAACAAAGCAGTGGGCAAAACAGTACAATTTAGAACCAATGAAAAAAAACCAAAAACACCATCATTCATGCTGAAGACATACATTTTCTCAATGAGCTGTTTCTCATCCAAGGCATTAGGAAGATCTCTCTTGTTTCCAAGGACAAGCACCTTTAAACAGAAAAGGTATTAAGAGTAAACTTAACATAAGACAACGTCACAGGAGCGTGTCTTGTTCATATCCGCAGACATTACAGTGAGAATGAGGCCACGTGCTGTAATATTAGAGCTTATTTGTGGAACTGGTGGCCAATCTCCCTCATTTAGTCATTCCAATTAGCATTCATTTTGACTTCCACATGTAGAGGCCCTTAATTCAATATGTAGCTGCCAAGTTCTATTTAAAATATTCTAAGTCTATAGTGTGCATTCTGCTAAAATGTGAATATGATCTTAACAGCCAAGGGTGGGGGAACAATTTTTAACCATATTTTCTCTGTAAGCTGTTATAACCATGTGAACATGTAAATAAGCTTCTAAAATTCTGGACCCCTCCTATAGGATACCATGTGTGAACACAAAGGAGCAGTCTGGGGGTTCAATGAAAACAGTAGCCATCAACTCTGGGATTAAATGCTGTCATCTGATTGCTACACGTGCTCGGAAGAGACAAAAGCAGAGATGGGCTTCCTAACTAACACTCTGTCTTTCCCAGAGAAATCCTTTCTGCCTTACAGAAAGCAAAGACCATGAGTACATACGTGTTTTATAACATCCACGTTCTAAGTCGGTGTTTTCTAAGAACTTGTACCTTTGATCCATGCCAACGAAGTACATGCCATGTCTACCCTGTCATACCTATTGCTTTCACTGAGCTCCCCCACCCCCACCCCCGAGTCTGGACACTAACTGATTCTATTCATCGGAGGCCGAGACTCTTGTACACCCCGAGGACAGAGATAAGGACAGAGGCGCAGAGACAGCCTCAGGGGATGGTAGACTGCAGGGAGTCGGAGGGCCAGGAGCCAGGCCTCAGCCGGCCCGCTCAGCCTGTCTGCCTCCCCAGCTCTTACCCGCCCCTCACCCTTCTTTCAATCGCTCAGGGTTCTCCAGCTGGACCTGCCCGAGTGTCTCATAACACATCATGGTCATTTGTGATCAGTTTTAGTTATGGGGCTGCCTGGCAGCTTAGCCTTCTTCCTACGTTTAGGAAACCTCCCACCTTACGAACCCGCTTCCCAATAAAGCTACTTGCTTCTGTAGCCAATTTCTTCCCTGGCTTTCCTTTCCGCCAGAGCACGGACACGTGATCTATGGTGAACCCAAACTCGGGCTGCAGAGCCAGTGACGGAGGAAAGCAGGGACAGAGGAGCCATTCTGATAGGGAAGGGACACCAGCTTCCTACCGCTTGCAACTAACAACCCAGAAGAAAAAGAACAGGCTTCACAGTCAGATAGACATGGACCCAAACTGTTATAAAGGAGGAATACCACCACCAACCTCGACATGTTGTGAAGATTAACTAAGGACTAAACCTCACGTGTCTGACACCATGAACTTGTCATGAGGCTAGAGCCTGGTCCTTTTCCAGCATTTGCTTAGCTCAGCGAATGGCAGCACTTTCCATCTAACTACATACGCCAGGGACTGGGCATTGTGCGCTACACCTTCCCTTCCAGTCCGTTACCGGGTCCGAGGGACTGAATTCCTAACCACTGCTAAACCGGCTTCCTTCTCAGCACCCTGTCTACTGCCACCAGCCCTCATCCATGGTGCTGTAATCTGCCGGGGTAGCTTCAAAGCTTCCTCACGCTGTCCTCTTCACAGTCCCTCTTGACACTTCAATCCATTCTTAAACCGAAATCAGAATGATGTAATAATAAGCCTGATCATTTAAAATACCGTCTGGCTTCCTCCACAGTCCAGCCCAGCCCAGCCAGGCTCCTCCGGCAGCCGGCTGCCACATGGCCACACTCTACCCCCACCCCTGGTGCGCCGGACAGCCTGGCTGCCTCTCAGTGCTCTGCATCCTCCTACCAACGGGCCTTTGTCTGCAACTCTCTTTTCCTCCAAGCGTCACATCCCTCACCTCTCAGCTCCAGTATCAATCACTTCTTGGGGGAATCCTTTCTTCCCTCAAACGCGATCCAATCTCCTCTCTAATCTACAGCTCTCACAGCCACATGGGCCTCTCCTTGGTGGCACTTACCAGAGCTGTATTATTCAGGACATTTCAGAGCATCCACCCTTCTTACTAAACCATAAGCTCTGGGATGCAGGGAGCGTGTCCCTAGGCACTTGTTCATCACTGTCCTCAGGACTGAGCGCTGCTCCCGCAGCAGTTTAATAAACAGCGGGTTAAGATGGAGAAACAGCACACGGCCCAGCACGGCAGGTAGCTGCTCAGTGAATGAAAGCCCTCCAGACTTGGAAACAGATGGCGTTTTACTGACACACAACATCACTAACATAACTGTACAATATAATGTTAATAATGTCACAGATATAATATACAGTTATACATAATGTGAAATATCAAATAATCCATACTTACTGGAATTCCTTGTAACTGTGGTTTATCTAGAAGATTATGAAGTTCATTTCGCGAGGCTTCTATCTTTTCGCGATCTGCAGCATCTATCATGTAACTATAAAAAAAATAATCTCAATATGTCTTCATCTTCTTTGATGATCACAATTAATATTACAGATTTTTAATTTTCTTAAGATTTATACTACTCAAGTTGTTAATCAAAATCAAGCCCCAGATAAAGAAAAATTCAACACCCCAAACTTTTAAATAGACAGCTCTCAGGAGCTAACACATTATAGTAACACACTTATATCCCTTAGCTCAGAGCTGCATAAACAAAAACCAAAAAAAAAAACGCTCATTCTGTGATGAAGTTTTTAAAGTCTCATGTAATGAATTATACTAATAAACACCTAAGAAAGACACTGCTGCCGAAATGAAAAACGAGGCTTCAGAAGCACTAACGGCAGCTCGCTCGCCTCCCTGCAGCCTGATTGACTGCGGAGAGAGCACTTACACGATGGCGTTGACCCCTCTGCAGTACCGCTCCCACATGCTCCGGAACCGGGGCTGCCCTCCGATGTCCCAGATCTGCAATCAAGACAGACAGCTCTCAGCACAGGCATTTCAAGTGACACATTGAAGGACAAAGGTCAGGCCGATATGCTCATTTTCACAATCTTAGAGCCAACGGCTCCTCAAAAACTTGAGCTCAAACAAGCTCTTAATCTGGAAGTTCTGGGGGCGACTTGAAGTTCATATTTAACATGTTTACATGAAATCTAATAAATTCTGCTTGAGCAAAGGTTTAGTTTTTGTACAATACTTTCTTTTCCTGTTTACCAATAAATTTCCATTATTAAAAATACAGCAGTCCCCCCATATCTGCAGGGAATATATTCCAAGACCCACAGTGGGTGCCTGAAACCAAGGATAGTACCGAACCCTATATATAGTATGTTTTTCCTATATATACACACCTATGATAAAGTGTAATTTATAAATTAGGCACAGTAAAAGATTCACAACAATAGCTGATAATAAGAACAATCACAACGTAAGAAAATAAGGGTGACCTGAACACAAGCCCTGCGACATCGTGATAGTCGACCTGATAACTGAGGCAGCTGCTAAGTGTCTGAAGGTGGGCACACCGGACACAGGGGTGAGTCATGTGGGACGGCGTGGGGACGGCACAAGATTTCATCTCACTACTCAGAACGGTGCACAATTTGAGGTTTAGGAATTGTTTATCTTTGGTATTTCCCATTTAATATTTTCGGACCATGGTTGACCGCGGGTAACTAAAACCGTGGAGAAGGGGGGACTGCTGTATGTGTCTTTTAAGATAACACTTTTAGAATCTCCAGAATCATGCTTCATCCAGATTTGAATTCCAAGACAGAAAACAACACTTTATTTAGAATCTATTGAAGTTTAATTGTCTGACTCGGTATTAATGCCTAATCATTTTAAATTATTTAAATTATTTTAAATTATTCTGTCACTAACACAGCCAACATTCCTACCTAGGTGTTTTTCTTGTATAAAATTATTTTATCCATACGAGAGCCGCTACCTGCAATAATTTCATTAGTATATCTACTACGTAGGGTGCTGTTCTGGACGTTGGGCTATGTAAAAGTCTAATGTCACTGTATTCATCTTCAAGAGGTCTCCAATATAGCTACAGACATGGTAACATGCATAAAGAGACGGATCCATGAAAAGTCAGGAGCTTCATGAGATGAGCTACAGAAAGATTTCAGTAAACAGCTTCTGTGAGCCACAGGAATCGGGTAAAACGGCCATACGGGACCAGGCTAGAGAAGTAAGGACTGTAACTTCCCCTCTGTTCAGAGGACAAGTAGCTCTCATGAATGGCTGAACCAACGACGACGACAAACCCCTAAATTATGGCCCCTACTCCTAGAAACAGTCCAACAGTCCATGGTTCAAACTCATTCTAAAAACAAAATTATGTTAGACAAGTTAGCTTTGTCCCATTTTATAGTTTTAATATTAGGGCTCAGTAGTAAATAAAGGGAAAAGTGAGTTACCATTTTTGCTGCCACAAATACAACACCAAATACCAATATTATAAATAATAATTATTTCTCAATATAAAATATTGTTCATGAAATAATATAATACCACATTCCAAATATTCTGAAAGATGGGATTTTTATTCCTAGGAACATCTAAATCCCAAATATTACCTCTGCCACCGCATATGCTAAGTTTTCCACGGGCACGTACCATTCAACTCTTATAATAGGAGACAGAAAGAAACACAGCTGATTTATACTCTTTGGAACAGGCCCATTCATTAGTTAAGAATGATAAAAACTCAGGTAAAAAACCAACAAGCAAGCTGAAAAACTCCTGGCTGTACAGACTAGCAATTTAATCGAGTACGGCAAGAAGATGACGTACCTTTATTGTGACGTTACCTTTAGTAACTTTCCTCATGTTGAAGCCCACGGTGGGTATCATATCTTCACTGAATTGACCTGACTGAACAGAAGAAAACATTTGAAGTTAGAATAATCAGTATCTATTAAGACATATAACACTAAACAGGCATCTAGCATCAACACTGCCTCTGTACCCATCTTAGTAAATAACTCACTTTTTAGTGGTGGTAACAATCTGCCTTAAGAAAACATTCCTTATTTATATATGGCCATATTTCTTAAAGAGGTACATTATTTTGTTCGCACAAAGACATATTCTCCCATTAAAGAAATATATTTTTAAGTCTAAGGTAATTTATTACATATTTCCTTACGTTTAAAAAAAGAAATATTAAAATTACATATGAAAATTTATTAATTCCCTCACCTATAAATACATTTTCACAAAATAGAAGAAAATCAGAAGGATAGCTTCAAAGTTTTCCATTTTTAGCGTTTAAATTATTTTGACAATAACTGTTAAAATTCACTACTTAATAGCTTTTCTGCGTTTGTCTTTTAACAAGGCTTCTAAAATATTTTGTCATATACCTCTTCTTTTATGTAATCATTTCTGTTCTCCTTTTTGGTTCATAACCTTACTGTCATAAAACTAAAATTAAATATTTTAAAATAGTATTTGTATGACTTTTTCAAACTTAAAATGTTCATCCATCTCAAATTTGATAAGAGTAAAAAAGTTTCATTTTTCAAATGGATAACCAATAATCACCTCACTCATTTAAAAATCCGTATTTCCCAACTCATTTGAAGTGACATGCCAAATTCCATATATTAATAGGTAGTTCTGTATCTGAATACTCAATTCTTTTCCATTAGTCTGTTTATTCCTAAATTAGGACTATATGAATTAGTATAGCGTAAACTATGTATTATTCTATATAGCAGATCAAAAATTTGGAATGTTTTTGAAATTGTCGTGGTTCACCTCTCACATTACAAATAAACTTTAGAAATGATATCCAACCACTTCTAAGCCTCTCTATCCACTCAAACATTCACATCTTTTATGTCCTTCAGTAACACTTCTCATAACAGATCTTCCATAGTTCTTGTCATATTCCTTCTTTTGACTGCAATTATGAAGTGTATGTAATGAGGCACAGCTAATACTGATTTTATATAGTTATGTATTTATGTATTTTATTTACCAAACATGAATTTCTCAGTTGACCTCTTACTTTTCAGGTAAACAGCCCAGGGTTATGATATAGCTCAACAAGAGAGTGACTACACAAACAGGACTACGTTCAAGGCCCTCACACAGGCGGATATTTTGCTGTGACCTTATGCTAGCCACTCATGCATTCCAAAACTCTACAAGTCCTGAGCACAATGAATTCCAAGTTTACAAATTAATTTCCTCTATTTAACTCCAAAAGTTCTACCTCTTTCCCCCCCCCCTCTGTTCAGTGAAGTTTGGGCTGAGTTAAAAAAAAAAAGTTAACACAACCATAATCAGTACTTTCATTTATATTAGACATTATAATTCTCATAACTTCCACATATATGATTTATATGTGAAAATCTAGTCATATCAAAACTACATTTTTAAATACTAGTGAGATACAACAAAAAATTAACCTGATTAAAAAATGGGCAAAGGCAACACCAAAGGCATTTTCCTTGAAAGAAAGAAATAATAAGCGGGACTTCATTAAAATTAAAAACTTCTGCTCTGCAAAAGATAATGTCAAGAGGATTAGGAGATAAGCCACAGAGTAGGAGAAATATTTGCAAAAGACACGTCTGATAAAGGACCTATATCCAAAACATATAAAGTACTCTTTAAAATTCAACAATATGAAAACAACCCAGTTAAAAAATGAGCCAAAGACCTTAACACAGACCTCAACAAAAAAGATAGAGATGGCAAATAATCACATGAAAACACGTGTCACATCATGTTTTCACAATCAGGGAAATGCAATTTAAAACAAAAATAAGATACCATCACACATCCATTAGAGGAGCCAAAATCTGGCACACTGTCGCCAAATGCTGCTGAGGACGCGGAGCAACAGGAACCCTCACTCACGGCTGGTGGGGATGCGACATGGTGTAGCCGCTTGGAAGTCAGTTTGGTAATTTCATACAAAGCCAAACACACTCTTACCATGTGATCCAGCAATTGTGCTCCTTGGTATTTACCCAAAGGAGTTAAAAACTTATGTCCACACAAAACCCTGCACACGGATGTTTACAGTGGCTTTATTCATAGTTGCCCAAATTTGGAAGCAGCCAAGATGCCCCCCAGTAGGTGATGGATACACAGACTGTGGTCCATCCAGACAATGGAACATTATTCAGCACTAAAAAGAAATGAGTGCCAAGCCACAAAAAGACATGAAGGAACCTTAAATGCATTATCTATACATACAATATTATACATATTGTATGATTCCAACACTATGACATTCTGAAAAAGGCAAAACTATAGAAACAGTAAAAAGATCAGTGGTTGCTGGGGATTGGAGGAGTAAGGAGGGATGAACAAGCCAAGTGGAGGATTTTATACTCTACATGACACCATAATGAGGGGCCCATGTCCTTCCACAGCTGCCCAAACCCACAGACTGTACAACAACAAGAGTGACCCTGATGTCAACTATGGACTCCAGGTGATAACGACGCGTCAACCTAAGTGCACCAGTGGTACCAATGGACCACTCTGGAGCAATGTTGACAACGGGGGGGGGGGGG